AAAAAATACATGAACGTAATAAATAAATAATCAGAATTGTTTATCCTCTTCGTTGCAATAATGGGTATACATTAATTTACTGATGGGAATCTGCGTGTATTTCGCATCATTTTTGCCAATAATGTGGTAGTTACTCAAACGAAAGAGAAAGAACAAAAAACAAATGAATGAGCTCCTGTATTTTTCGATGTATTCCTATGAATGAGCCGACTTCTGAACGCTGTCGTTCTCTGAATGCATATACGACCTTCCGAAAATTATCTCCGTGTTGGGAAACTTTCACAATCATTCATGAATAATGATCAAATCTTCATTTGCGGCACAAAAGAAACAGGCACTGTCATAAAGAGATATGAACTGGAGAGAAATCTTCAGTCGAAATTGAATTGAAGGGGATCCTCATGCTCATGAGTGCATTTCAGTATTAATGGTACATCATGCTTCAAAGCCAAATTTCAACACGTCATTCTTTGCATTCATCACATGATGATCCGAAGGTCAGACCTATAGAAACTGAGATAAATCCATTAGATAATTAGAGATGTTGTGGATGACATCAATCATCATTTTCCAACTGAATAAATCGATACTGAGACTATTCGTCCGATTATTGATCATCTGAAATGTTGTGATCTCGTTATCCTCTGTAAAGTCGATTACGACTTGAATAAAGTTGTGGAAAACATAAAAGGGAATCGACCACAATAAAATCTGCAAACCGGAATAAATCGTTTTTTTTCGAGCATCAATACGCCAAATCCGTGATGAGGATCAATACCAACCATGATATTTTTTTGCGTTTGATAGAACAGGGCTTTATTTGACCCCCCTTGATTTTTACCTCTAGCTTCGCCCTCTTTTTTTATTTTTCAAAAAAAAAACGTGTCTGGTGCCGAAATGACGTAATCGTAACGCCTTGCTGCGTTAAATTTCAGCTCGGGGCCTTTAAACATCGGGCTCAGGGCGTAGGCTCTCCTTCGTCTTTTACATTTAGCAAACCCCCCTGGGAATTCCCCTTTCCAGAAACTCTCCAGGCCGTCATTCAACTTGCGTCTCTCTCTCTAGAAACTGCTCTACAAACAACAACAACAACTGCAGAAGAGGGGGATGAAATTTGTGCAGGTTTTTTTTTTTTCGCTCTGGCCGCTTTTTCTCTCAGCACTAGATTTTTCCCCCGTCTTGCGAATAAGCACAGGTTCATAGACGACTATCATCGACAGGCAGTAGAGCTCTAAAAAGCGAAGACCCACGTGTTTTAATTAGATCCTAACGTAAAACACCACGGGCTCCCTTTCGTCTCCCCCCACCCGTACATGATATGAAGTACTTGAATCTATTTTCAGAAAGAAAATTGAGAAACTTTTTAAAATTCCGACCGACTTTTTCCCCCTTTTCGAATCTGAATATTTTTTGGAAAAAGGGTGACAGATGCACCAACTTATTCGGGATGCGAAATTCGCCGAGAATAAATAAAAATTGAAGTCACCTTTTGTGGAAATAGCAACAAAACAAACGTGCAAATTTTGGTCCGATCGGCCTTTTGACCTGAAAATATACATTCCACAAAATTCAGTTCATTCGGAAAAATTGATAGATGGCTACGATCTTGTCATGTGATATTTTTATGAGCTTTCAAGACAACAATTTTTTGAGAATTTTAGTGTGCGCAGAATCCAACTAGGTTGAGAAGAGCGGTCTCATTTATAGTATGTAGACTCAAGTTTACGTGATATTGCAAAATTATGGGAATTAGCACGTTATACTTGGCACATTTACTCTGTTTTTCGTCAGGTATTTTTCGCTTGTTGTGATCAAACATTGAACTGAAATACCGGTTACTTTCTACATTTTTGCATATTCTCCAAGGAAAATTAGCAAATTTTTCACATCTGCAAAGTTAATGTCTATATCTGTCCTCTACGGATGGCCGCCAAAATAAATTGCAACGTTACAAAGATATAGACGAGTCAATTGTTCGCGTGTCTTGTTTTTGGCGGGAATAACGGAAAATTGAAAGAAAACTTGAAATTTCTTTACATTGGTGTGAATTTCGACATTAATTTTCAACGTCAGGGAAAACTAAATGTAAGTGCTGGTCTTACCGGCTTATAGGCTGCCGTCCGCGTTTGGGGGGAAAAACGGCCCAGCTACTAAAAGTTGTTGAGGGCTGCTATCTTTCCCCATTTGGGGTAGAAAACGAGGGGTTTCGCTCTTCTCTTGCCCAGCGTCGACTGTCCAATTAGGATTTCGAGTGCGCGCTTCCGGCGGAAATTCCCACTCTTGCTTCCTCTGACGGGACTCGACTATTATAATACGGAGAGGAGATGAGGTTATGGGCCGGGGAACTTCCGGGTTTCCCCGTCAGATATTTTGCCTGAAAATCACGTCCAGATAAGTTGAGTTGTACTCTCTCATCATGCGCCAATTTTCATATTCTTCTTGGCTTCGGATTCAAAGTTTCGAAGCGACGGTTTTGAGGTTAACGAAATCCTGTTGGCAAAAATACTTCATTCGCACCTTCTCCGCAGATTTTTTCGCTTTGAAATCTGGTTTCTTTCTGCTGACAACAGGTCTAAAACTGGACGACACAATATTTGATCCTCTCAAAAAAAAAGAAAGGAAACCCTAACTATTTAAAAGATCAAAGTACCCCCTCCCCGTGTCTTAACCCAAACTTACTACCTGCTTCAAAAGAGGAACTCGAGCAAAGGCTTAGGTTAAATGACACAGTAGGTTTTGAAGTAAGCTCGTTTTTTCGCCGAAATTTTGAATTTTTTAGGGGTTCATCAAACATCTGCAAGGACTGTAGTCCTTCATAATTTGAACCTCCCCTGGTCAATTAACTCAATATTTCAAATTTTGCTTTGAATCCCTTATAGAAACTATGCATTCCCTGACTCGAAGGCTTTTCCACTCAGACATGAATTAAATTTTCTGGAAGACCTTCGGCTATTCTTTCATCGGAAGGGGAAAAAGAAAAGCAATAGAAATGTAACTTGATGTATTTTGAATGGAAATGAAAGACTGATTGTGCAAATTCTAACCCTTGCATTCAACGTCAGCATCCTGTCAACTCATTTGAGAATCAGCAGTTTAAGGTTCAGAATATCCCAATCACAATACTGTAACTTGTAATTCATATTTATTTCCCCCAATGAAAAGCTTCTTTCCCTAACTCGATTTTTTTTTGCTGCTGGTCACTTGAAGGTTGACTTGAAGAGGTTGGACAGGATAGAGTTTGATTATCAGGGTGAATCAAAAAATTAATGTCTAAATTTAAAGGCAGGATTTTATGTTGAAATCATAAGTCCAGCACTTCCTACGTTCATGCATTTCATCCCTTTAAAAAAAATCCCTGTCTCTTCAGGCATTGGAATGAATTATTTTTTTTTGAAAATTGCCCTTCTCTATAAAGATACGAAGAAATAAAGAAGCGTCTGAAAAGTCATATAATGAACACGCATTGCATTTTTCGCTTCGGGGCTCCTCATAATTGTCATCATCCTCCTCCTCCTCAGGTATTTCGACAACAAGGTGTTTGTGGCCCTGGCCCGTGGCACCCTGAACGTGTACTCCAGGGACCACAACGGCACAGGCACCACGTGGAACGTGAGTGACCCCGACGAGGTGCAACTCGGCGCCTCGGTGTCTCGTCTGGCCACCGTCGGCTCCAACAAGCTCTGGTGCGGCTGCATGAACCACATCCACATCCTCAACACGTCCACCCTCGAAGTCGAGGTAGCATTATTATGCAAATTACTATATGCAGATTCCCCGCATGCAGATTGGACAGAAACGTCGCAGCTCCATCTCTGTATAGGCCGCCGCGTGACGACGAGATGATGAGGACGGGCCGCTGTTTTATTTTTATTTTTATTTCGCAAGCTTTTTGCGGCGGAATAATAGCAACTGTTTTTCTTCTGGTTCTGCATATGGCGGTGAAAAAGTCTGGTTATCATATTCAGCTAGGAATCCTCGATTATCGTGCTGATATGAGGATGATTGCAAAATAACTGGAGCGTGAGAGCGGAACAAAAAAAAGAAAGATTGTTCGATCTCCCCGCCTGTCAAGAATAATACGAGGGCTGTCCCAGTTAGACGTGACCTCGTGATATTTTTAGAGCAGCTAGTGTGATCGTAATAAAAGATAATCATGACATGGCACATGATATTTTAAGGTTTTGGGATTTTATTCCGGATTTTTTAACAAGTTTTTCAGTTTACTGTACGATGACAAGTGAAACTTTACAGGTACAGCCAGTATTCTTCATCCATGTCACGTAAAGCTACCTTGAAAATCGAAACCTTCTTTGTTGTTTAACCATTAGAAAAGGTAATGAGTCAAGGAACATAAAATTTCAATTTTTAGCTGGCCTAAAAAAGTTAAAAAAAATTAAGGGGCACTGAAAATGTGTCAAGCCAGCTAAAAGAAAAAGTTTAACCATTATCTAAAATTCAGAATATACAGTAATTGGTAAAGCAAATACATTTTTCATTTTAATCCGGCCTAAAAAAATGTTTGACACCCTATGGAGAACTCCAGCTGTAACTGAAAAGTTTTCACTTAACATCATGCAGTAAATTGAAACACTTTTTTGTAATTCGAAAAAAAATACCAGAGCCTTAGGACATCATGGACTAACTCATCACGTACTGTCTATACAATCACACTTACTCTAAATAATATCATAGGTCGCGTCCAACTGGGACAACCCTCGTACAGTATATAAGAAGCTCCGCGTCATAATTTGAATACCAACACCCCGCAGCGAGGTGCCTTATTTGGGCCGGGTTTCTAGAGGTAGATTATGATGATGCCACGTGACGGGTGAAGTTTTGGTTTCTGGTTATTCTATACATGTGTGTGGGAATCCTTTTTGCAGCATTCAATCACATTGCACCAGGACCCGAACAAGGGTGTAGCGTGTCTGGCGGCGTCGGGTTTCGGGGTGTGGGTGGCGCTCAATGGTGCTTCCTCAGTGCGGTTGTACCACGCCACCACCCACGAGCTCCTCTCGGAGGTCAACGCGGGTCCTGCTGTTGCCAAAATGCTCTCCAGTGAGTTATTTCAAGATGCCTGGGTTGAATATATAAGGACCTGTCCAGTCCATATACGTGTGTATATACAGTAAAGTACTGTACAGTATTATACAGATGAAAAGTCAACGTCTGAAATTCAGGAAATCTGTTGTTATGTGCATTGATGCTGTGAAAGCGTGAATTTAAGGTTGAAAATTACATGATAGCAAACTCAAAATCCCGTAATTTTTCTGCAAAATATTTGTTGGTGATAAGATTTATTTATTAAAAACAAACATTTTTCATTCATCCCTTGGCAATGTATTTGGCATTGAATATCCTGATGGACAAGCCATCCATCGGTTGAATCAATCATACAAGGTACCTATCCTGTACTTGTAGATATTTTTAAAGGAACAAGCATATTTGTAGCAGGAATAAAAGGAGGAATTACAGGATATTGTGATTGGTGATGTTCCATGCCTTCAAATGGTTTGTAGATGAGTTGAATTGAAGGATGATGCTGAACATGGAGGCAAGGGTTTATTTGCCCAATAAGTCTTTCACATCGTTTCTATAAACAGACCAAGTTAAATTTTATTGCTTTTATCTTAAATGTGTCGAAAAAGAAAATAGCCGAAGAACCTACAGAAAATTCGATTTATTAAGATTTGAGGGGGGAAGCCTTATCGAGTTAAGGAGGTCTTTAATGCACTATTTTTCAGGGAATTCAGACATTGACTAGAAAAAAATTTCAAAATTATGAGATATTCAACTACTGGAAGTTCGGGGCATTGAGATTCAACTGTACATAATTCCCAGCCCTGTTTCCCAAGGAGTTAGCAGTTCATCAGATCAGTATTTTTCTCTCCGAGAATATTCTTCTGATGCAAATTGATTTTAAAATTTTCCATTCATGTTCATCTTTGCTTATTTTCATTTTATTCATTTTTTTCTATAAGGTTCTGATGATATCATTCGCCAGCACAAAGCTGCGTGCCTTAGAGTGACTTCCTTGCTGTGCTGCAAGGACCTTCTCTGGGTAGGAACGAGTGCTGGAGTGGTGCTGGTTGTTCCCCTGCCACACATGACTGCAACAACTGTAAAACTTCAACAAGCCCTCAACATCACTGGTAAGCACACGTAGAAGATTAAAATTCTGAAAATTAAATCTTGATTCGCAGTCTTATTTAAAGTTTCTATAGCGTGAAAAAATGTTCATTCGTGAGTTTGTGTTCAATGATATACTGAAACGTGCATGATGTCTATTTTACAATCTCATTCAATTTCATAAGAGGTCAGTATATATATCCGTCACTGAATGAAACATATTTTACAACTCAATTTTTACTTCTTTTTCCATTAGCTAAACCTAGCTGAATATCCCACATTTGTGCATGGCGCATAACAAAGCAACTGCATGCTGGACTTCAGTAATCATCAAAAATTAACAAAATAAATTTGACCAAAAGGACAATTTCGAAGTACAGAATCAAGATTATTGATATTGCGTTGCTTATGTCTAATACAATTTGAAATACGTGTTCTCAATGTATGAGCAGTATAAAGAAATTTTCGTTTTTTTTTTTTTAAAGGCCATAAAGGTATACTTTCTGAGTTTTTTTTCGTTTTTCTTGTATTCAATAAAATGGGAATCATAGATGAGGCACTTTATGAATCGGATACGTTAAGGAATGTGTTAAAAGCAGCTGGAAAGTTTGCTATAGTGAAGTTAACACAGTAAAAAGTGGTTACTGTATAACTGTGTAAGTTGGTCGTAAATAAAGTTGATGTCTTGACCCTTTGCCGGTCTTCCTTTTTATAATACTGTACAGTACAGTACTACGAGTTAAAAGAGAAGAGCGACATCTACTCGATTATTATGGATATCGTGCAGTAAAATCTGAAGTTCACAACTTAATCCTAAGGCATCAGGTTTGGTTCAAGAGAAACTCTGGGCTTGCTTCTGTGCTTTTTATTCCATAATTTTCATCTTGTCTTCATCAGGAAGTACATGGTCTTAAAATTTCTGCATTTTAGAAGAACTTCACGGTATTTATTACTGTACCTATTTCCCACAAAATGCCAGCCTAAAAAGTGTTGAACCCTTATGAATCTTGATAGTTTTGAAGAATTTTCGCTGCAAATATTTTTTTAACGGGTCTCTGCTGGAAGTTCGTTGTAGCGAGACTTTACAGTACAGTACATGTACTGTATATGATAAAAGGTGTTTCCAAACAGGTACCCGGTGTGCCCGGTGCACTCCAAGGAGTACAGTCACCTCTGGTAGGGGGAGCCGCTCCCGGTGGTAGCGTCACCGATGAAGTTCGTGGTTCCGTCCAGGAGTTTCAAGGGCGGCAACAGCAGTGCCACCAGTTTCAGCGGCGGTGGAGGCTCCAACACAGCCCCGAGCGGCGCCGGCAAAGACCAGCAGTACCACCTGCGTCACCACCACCATCACCACCACTACTACGGCGCCCCCACAGCTGGCCCAGGTGGACCCCTGGCATCGTCCACCAGTGACGCCTCTGGTGGCGCCAGTCCAGGGGAACCGTGGGGCCGGCCGCGGCGCGTAAACCACGGGTTAGTCAGGTACGACTAAAAGTCGCCGCCGCTGCCTAAGCTCCTGAAAACCTTGTGGTTACAGCCGCTTCCGCGGCCGTCCCTGCTGAGGTGCAATCATCTGCTCTTGTGGCACGTCTGATCCATATGGTCTCGCATAATTTCCTCTCTTCTTCCTTCCGGAATCAATTCTTGATTGAAAAAATTCAAATGGGCGGCGAAATGCTCTGCGTGGTGGTTTTTTTCTTCATTGATTTGAAATAATTCCAGGGGGAGAAAAAACGTGCAGCACCGGGTAAAGCAACTATAAAAATTTCAGAATAATGAATATCCAATCAGCCTCATTTAAACAAAACGAAATCCTAAAAATTGTAAAGTAGGGATGGACCGAGTTTTTTACAAATTTTTCAGCACTATTTATAAGACGTTCAGCTTGAGTTCGACTATAAATGCTATCAAGTAGCACAAGATTAAAAAGACGCTACGAAAAGGAGCATTATTTAAAAGAACTGAGAACAGGTTGCGACGAAGATTTGATTAAATTCTTCTTTAGGAAAATTGTGGTGCTTATTTTTAAAAGCCAAAGAAAACAAAACTTTATCATAATAAAAAAAAACAGTTCCAACTTTTTTTCGGTTCTCAAATTTCATGACAAAAATTGAAAACGCATGTTTCAACCGAGCAAGACTTGATTTGAAAGTGTGTTGAAGGACGATAATCAAGAGCTTGCAAATGAAGAGAAGGCAAAAATTGAATTTAATTCAAATATTCCGTTTCTGTGCCTCTATAGAATTAATCTTTTCCATCGCAACCTCGGGAGTCAACATTTTAGCGAAACTTAAAAGTAATGGGAATGTTATTCGAAGTTCGCCTCCGAAAGATCGGCTGTATCCGAAGACTCGTCGAATGTGATTCTGACCAACATATTCGAAAATAACATTTCGCGTTTATGAATTCCCCTCCATAACCAGTTATTAGCTTCAAAACCTCACTTGTTGACACAGTAAAATTAACGCCACCACAGAGAAGATATCTGCATCGTCAAATGGAACATATTCGATCTGCATCTACTGCTTGAGAATCCAAAGCAAAAGAAAAATTGACTGAAACTCGTCTCGTTCGATTCGGAAACGGCGGGCAAAAACATGAGCTCAAAGAGAAAGAAAGAAAGAGAAATGAAGAGAGTAAGAGAGAGAGTTGCCATCATCGCGTTATTCCCCGAAAAAAATTGTGATACGAAAACGAAAAAAACAGAAAATCGAGAAAACAAAAAAAAAGGGCGGTGCTGCAGCAGAAACTTGTAGTCGACAATTTGCACGTAACTGATGATGGTTCTCTCTGTTTGTTTTTTTCGCTGATGATTCGCTTCAGCGCGAGGGCTTTTCGGTTTCTCGTTTTTTTTTTTTTTTTGCACTATGAAAGCTAGGGTGATGGAGGGGAAAAACGGAGGAGGAGGGTTTTTCTTTTGGCTTCGGTGATGCTTTCTTTGCAATTTTTTCAGGTTGTTCCCATTTAGCGGGAACGCGGACGGAAACATGGCTGAGTTAGAAATTCATTTCCTCAAAAAAAAAACGGGGGGCCCGCGAGAAATGGGACAGCGACGATGACGAGCTTCCCACAATCGACGCCATTTCGTGTCCCTTTAAACGAGGGCTTTCTCAAAAGTTCTACCGGATCAGCACCAGTACTCGGCGCAATTGCAGATGCATAACAACGCATCTTCTCTACATTTTAATTATATCATCCCTCTTAAATTATACTGAACTTTCAAGATTCTCCGAAATATAATCCATTTCAAAATGACCATCTTGGAACATTCTACTGCTGCCAATTAAACTGAATTATAGCATCTCATCGTCTGTGATATTCAATCATCTCGGAAGAACACCCAATTATTAGCCCAGATAATTTATTTTCAGCGAATAATAATTTTTTTTTACACCGAAGTGCAGAAAAAAGAGTTTTCTGATCTATGTAGTACTTTCGACAGAAATTCTGACAGAAATATTGCGTGTCTTCGATAGTCGAAACCCCCCGAAAGTCGAAAGTTTTAAAAAATATATACACACCAACATGTGTCATTAATTCATCATCGGCAATGAAAATGTATTGTTGACTTGCGGGACTTTTGAGAAACATCTCGTTTTCCCTCCCCCCCACTTTTGAAAGCTAGTCGCGGGAAAGTGTTCAAAAAAAATGCTTTTCCTTTCCAGGATTCAAGAGTTACCTCATGAATACCGGTTCCTTGTTTTTGATAAGGAAATTCACCCACGGTTTCAATGGAATTGTGAATCAACAGTGTTCGGAAAAACTTGTGCGACAAGTTTTCCGCTTTTTTTGAATGAATTCGTTCGCGAAGGACTTTCTTTCCGGGTTTTTTCGGTTCTTTTTATACAAGAGGGATTTGACTGAGGATTGACCTTTCAAGGTTTGACGGCTGAACGTGAAGTAAAAGTTTTTTTGGAAAAATATAAGAAAGTCTTTAATTCAATGATTGAAGCAGTTAAAATGAAACACCTGCACAGTCAAGAATTTTGTTTCCATCCCTTCACTAATTTACTAGATTCAAGTACATTTTTTTCAGGTCAAAATAAGGCATCTAGAAAGCTGGGAAGGGAATCACATCATCAGTTATTTTCAACATTTGGATTATGCAGCAATGCCTATGCATGCATAAGTTCAATAATGATACTTTTGCTAAAAATTTGGCAAAAACAAATCCCCATGTGAGAGGAACACCTCATCTTGCATTTTCTTGCGGGGAAATCAGAAATTTTGCCAATTAACATTTCCAAATTACTGAATACTGTATTTACTTGAGTAACACACACCCTTCAGAATAACCCACAACCAGGTCTTTCTGTGTGAAATGTTGATGAAATTGTATCCCCAAGTAATACGCATTCCCCATTTTCTGTGTCTGTACCAATATTTAAAAAACAATAACACCAAAATTTGAAGACACAATTTGAACCTGAATTCAATTTTTCCATATCTTTCATAGAAATGAGTTTACCTGATGAAATAATATCAAAATTTCCCATGAGAATTGGGTACTGTATACATAGTGCACAGATAAAACTTCCAAAACATTAGGAAGCACTGATATCCATCTATGATGCTGCACATCCCTTTTCTCTTCAATTTTGAAAATAAGATTTGTTACTCAAGGAAATATTGTACTGTACAGTACTCAAATATGGTGTGAATTATTCACTTTTCAAAAACAATATTCAATCCAATTACATCCAACTTTGATTCAAATATAAATTTTCAATTATACTTGCTGAAGTTGAAAAAACTTTCCAACTCAAACTGATGTGATTTGACAATGAAATTCACCAAGATTTCCACGAAGTCTCCGGGAAAAATTCTATTCCGATCCTGAAACGCAGTCCAATTTCCCGGGAAGGGATTCGCGGGGTTTGATAGTTTATAAAGAGGCCTAATCTGGTTATTTCAACCTTGATGTCCAAATAAGGTACGGTGACCAAGTCCTGTTCAGACCTAATCCAGGCCAGACACAAACGAACTCCTGCGCCATAAATAACCTCATCTAACCCTAGATTAACCTTTGCAACCCCCACCTCAACGTGTGGGTGAACAGATGTCTGCAGAAGTACAGTACTGCAGCTGTAACAAATGAGAACCAAAGGTCAAGAGGAGGAGGAGTGAGACTTTATTGAGTGTAGATGTGAGAAAAAAAAAAGAAGAAAAAAGACAAAAGATCCGTCATCCGATTTTCATTTTGGTTTCCTTCTCCCAACTCGACACATCGTATCACTCTCCTTTTTTCTTTTTGCTTTTATAGCCATTCACCACAACTCTCCCCCATCGCAACCGAAAAAATTTCTCAAAAAATTTTCTTTCTTGACAGCCGCGTGAATCGCGGCCGCGCTCACAGGAAAAAGCCCCTCTCTCTCACACCTGCGCAAAAAAAACGAACAAAAGCTTGCCGATATCCACGAAAATCGTCGATGGAAAAGACGCGAGCATTTTTCAGAGAAAAACGACCAAGACAGGACAAAAAAACCTTCAATGGGAGAGGCACGGAAAGACTTCATCACTCTGTGCTTCTCGAGCTTTTTGCTTCTCCTCTCTTCTTTGCCTTCCAATCACACCGAAATACTCGTTCCATCTTTTCTTTCTCCCCACGGGGAGAAATTAAAACGAATACAAAATTTTTGAGGAGCACATTCGTTGTCGGATAAAAAAAAAAAAACAAAGACGACGCTATCCTCTTCTCACCGGATGGAAATTGTCGCGGCAAACAATTTTCCAGGGGGTCATCATCAGATCCATAAAAACAAAATAGAACAAAATGCTTAATGCCGAAAAAAAAATTCGGAGCCCTGGAAGACGTTGTTGGAAACCCAAACAAATGGCACGCCAACTTTCTCTTCTCCTTCCTTCAACTTTTTTTTCCTTCTCAATTAAAAACCAGCCTCTTTTTCTTTTCGAAGAACCGAACTGCGCGAAATGAAAAAAAAAAACGTGCTCCACTGGCAACCACAACACTTGACCACCCATCGAATGGAACACAATTACAACCACCACCAAGTTATTCACCACTGTGAAAAATTTTACCCGAAGTTATTCTAATTCGAATCGGAATTATCGACTAGCAGGAAATGAACCGAATTTTTCACCGTAGAACATCAGGAAAATAAAAAACTTCCGAATGCGTCGCGGAACTTTCATTCTTTCGAAAAACTAGATCAAAAAACACAGGGGTCGAAAATTCGTCGACGGATACGCCCGCAACACCTTCTCTTTTTCTTTTGTCTCCATTCCACAAGCAACACGTTCAAAGCATCATCTTTCTTCAGAGGCTTGAAACAATCTTGAGGCGTTATCAGTGCTGGGTTGCCAATTCGCACAGGGTAATATTATTTTCATTTTTATTACTACAGTACTGCCTTCTTTTACAACAACAAAGCAGAAGATGAATATTTTATTGCAGTTTCTGAGAAGGTTCAGATCAACTAAATGTCATGGTTCCTGCAGAATTTGATTGTTGAGCGATATTCATTGCCAATCCAGTGGAAAATAACCCTGTTTGGAATGGGACAAGCACCGACAGTTCTTTTTCCCCCGGGGTGAAAGAACAAAAACCAAAATGAAAGCAAAATCGCAGCGGAAGGAACAAGCGAACGAACGAACGAACAGAGAGGGAGACGGAAGTTGAAGCCAAGAGGGAGAGGGGGAGAGAGAGAGAAGAGGAGTCACTGGGAGATGGCGGCGGCGGCCTGTGCAGCAGCAGCCGCCGCCGCGACGGCCGCCACCGACAACTGCTGGCTCGGCACGTCCGCCAGCACTGTCGCCGTCGTCGACATGGCCACTGGCGTGGAAGTCGTGGCAGTCGACGAGGTTGCCGACGACGACGCCGCCACCGTCGTGGTCGTCGGCACCGTCGTCGCACAAGACGTCGACGATGACGACGAGTTGACCGCCGTCGGGGTGGCACGGATCACGGCGGCCGCCTTCGCCGACTGCACCAGGGCCAGCGTGTCCGAGTTCGCGTGGGCCCGCAGGATCCCGTTCTCGTACTCCAGGTCCGAAATGCGCTCCTTCAACTCAGTTATGGTCTCCTTCAGCAGCTCCACCTCTTCTCGCACCGCGAACATCAAATGGCTCTTCACCAGGTCCTGCAACATGATCAAGCACGGTAATTGAGAAATTTAAGCATTGGAAGCGACACTTGAACGAATCAGCCACAGGCATCTATCTAAGCACTGTACAGAGAAGATCAGACGATCTGGTCTGTCAATGCAGTAATTTAAAATTATGTCTCCTCTACAACTCTCCCACGATGATTTAAAAAAATATTACTGTACATCGAGAAATCGCCAAATGATCAAAGTTTCATTGCGACGGCCTACTTGTCAATTGAACAGTACAGTACTACACTCCGATTCAAGAGCAAAATCGAATTTGTATGCATAAAAAATATGAATTACAGTATTTGCATTTCACAGCTATTCGTAATTTTTAGAATTTTGACAGAGAAAAATTCCCCTGATGGAAATTTGCAACATTCCCTCAGCTCAGAAAATCGAACGGTACTGCTTGAAAAGTTCTTCTGTCTCGTAAATTTCCCTTCAAGCATGATCCACAATATTTTTCATCATAATTTGATCCTTAGCCCCTATAATCGAATAATGAATTAAAAACGACGCCTTGAATTCAACGCAACCACAAACGAGAAAAAGCTCTGGCTTGAATCGCTACGCAATCTCATGAAATCTAATCCGCCAACTTCTGAGCCCGAAGAACCCAAGAAATCTACATCAACCGTTACAATTGGCAAACGACGTCAATTCACCGGTAAGAAATCAATCAATCAATCTCGACTGGACTCGGGGCTTCTCTGCTCGCCCCCGCACCCAACAAAATCGAAACGGATGAAAAGCAAACGTGTGTCCCGTGAACGAGAGAAAAATAAATAAAAGAATGAATGGAAAAAAATGAGCTCGATCAGCCCAGTTTGCTCAGCAAACGAGAAAACTGCGCCGTTCGACACACATCTTCAAACTCACCATGGCTTGTTCGATCTTGTTGTCGATCGCGACTCCGCCGCTGCCTGGACCCGACGCACTGCGAACAAAATTGAAAAATAGTTAATGACTCGTGTGCAAAAACGCTTTCCTAACCGTAATTAATCAACTGACGAGGGATACTATCTTTTTTCTCTTCTACCTTGTAAGATAGATATAAGCCATCGGGCTTTAAAAAAAAGGGGTTCGTTATTTCTCTCAAATACGACTCGGGGGTTAAATTCCAACAAAGAAGCAACCTCATCTCCTACAGTGGAGCCCCGAAATGCGCACGTAGTTGGCGCTTGGACCTTGCCCCTAAGTCATAACGGCCTCATAACAGGGGAACATATTTACTTGGTTCCCCTGTTCATCAAAAATTAGTATTGAAGTCCACAAAAACTAAATTTTTTTATTTCACGTCACGATAAAAAAAAAACTGTACAGAAGAAAATAACACAAAATCTGATCTTGTGGCATGAAAGAGAGCTCAAGCAGCGAAGAACAATCAAATGTCTTCCGATAATGTGCACAAAAGATGAAGAAAAACTCTTTAAAAAAAAGCGTAAAA